GCCCTCTGGGTGGTGGACTAGAAAAAGATGACTACCTATTATGACTCTACCTTGTGCTTAACCTATGGAGATGACTACCTATTATGACTACCTTATCTATTGTGACTACCTAATCTACTGAGATGACTATCTAACCTATGGAGACTGCTTAACCTATGGAGATGACTATCTATTATTACCTTATTTATTGTGACTGCCTAATATATTGATATGACCAATGTCTAATCTATGGAGATGACCAAGAATCAAACCTTAGCACGTTCTTTCATGCAAAAAGCTTCTTTCTTCATGGTGTCCCGGCTCTGGATGTTGGACTGGAATATGATAACCAGCACCTAACCTAATGTGACAACCTAGGAAGAACTGATATGGAAGTTGAACGATAGGTTATGAATTTTATTTTGTGAGACCAATGATGATTATTTATTATTCTAATCCACGTAAGAAGAAAAGTTATTAAAAATTAAAATTTTATGCCAGGATAAAGGCATGTTATATTTTTAAAATCACTAAAATGTAAAATCATAATGGATATATTTGAACACACAAAAAGCCTTTAAAAAATTATTTATAATTTCTTAGTGAAATATTGATACTAAAATGTAAAATCATAATGGATATAGACCACACAAAAAGCCTTTAAAAAAATTATTTACTTAAATTATAATGAAATATTGATATTTTTTTGATTTCTTGAATGATGACCAATTGTTGTAAATTAACTAAACCTAAAGATGAATTCTTAGATATAATTAAAAATAAACCATTAAAAATCCTAAACAAGAAGATTATTAAAATGTAATTAAAACATATGAATTAAAAGGGATTGATTTAGTAATACTTAATATGATAAAAATGTTTTTGAAATAAAGCTTTTGAAGACAAAAGGTTATGTAAAAATTAAACATCAATATTTTAGAAAAATATTGTGTGAAATTTTAAATTTTTTTTTATGAGAGGGAAATGTGCATAATATTTGCATATTTTAACCTCGGAGATTGAAAATAAATAAAAATAAATTAAATATTAAAACGCTACTAATTAAATATTAAAACTCTACTAATAAAAAAGAATGTAAAACGCAAAAAATATAAAACGCATAAAACGCTAAAAGTATAAAACGCTATGATTAACTTAACACCTAAAAAATAATATAATAATTTATCATTCCTTATTCTGGATTAAAATTTTATTCCTTATTCCATAAATTATCATACCTTATTACATATTTTATTCTTCCAAAATTCAAAATTTTATTCGTGCATATTATTCATACATTTGATTTGATCAACTATTCCAAATTATATATTCCGATTTATTCCAAATTCCAATATTCGACTGGATTAATTATAAAAAATGATAATAACAATTGAGCACTATCAAACAAGCTATGATTAATGGAGATAATTTACGATATGGATATCAAGCTTGTGATTAAACAAACCAACGTGCAAAATCGAATTGATCAAACCAACGATTGGGACAAGCCAACGTTATGATGATTTGTGATACAACTTGATTACCAAAACAATAAACCACTTGGACAACAAACTCTCTATGACTTCTCCGATGAAATTATCAGAAGAGGGTGAATGTTGCATTATTCTAATTACAATATAAATTTTATTTTTTGTTATAATCTAATTTTATTTTATAAACGGCGTAACCTTACTTTTTTAATATTATTTTACTTTTTTGTATTTCGTTTTATATTCTAATTTATATTTTAGAAAATGTATATATACCTTTTGAAAAGAAAAAGAAATTAGTTAATAAAATATATTTTTACTGACTCGAACCTCGCGCTATATCGTTAGTATCCATATTATTTGCACATAAAATAATTATTTTAATACTATATATAAGGAATGTGCGGGAACTAACTTATATAAACTTTGTCAAATAGGTCTCGGAGCAAACAAGCATATTTTCTTGACATACTTATTATTTTAGAAAATGTAACTAAAAAAGTATATATAATTTTTTATTTCCCATATTTTTCCTTTTATATTTTGTTAAAAAAATTAGTTAGCGAAAATATATCAATACCTGGCGATAAATAATATTAATATTTTTTATTTTGCCTCCTTAGCTGTAATCTATATTATGCTTTATCTTTTTAAAACTATAATTCATCAGATTTGTGATCCATGGCCATTTATTATTTACCAGTTCTTGATTCGCGTTTGTTTTGGATTCATTATATTTTTGATTCCAGGTTCCACCCATTGATATGTATATGCTACTAAATTAACGATTTATTAATTAAACATACATCGGAGGCAGATGTAACGTCATTTTGTGTTTTACACGTCAACTAATGGTCTTTATATTAATTCATATCAATGCCATTTAATCGACGTGCAACCCACAAAAGCTACACCTGAACTCCTATGTATGGATTTTTAAATTCATTTAATGCATGAATACCCAATCTAGTAGAGTATATACTTATGCGTAGCCAGGATTTTATATAAGGTTAAGCACAAGTAGGGGTGTTCCCCATAATTTTTTTTGGAGGTAGGTATATTTATTGTTGGCATTAACTATATAATTTATATATTTTTAAATATAATTTTGGATTTTCACTTATTTTAAATATATAAATTATTTTGTTAAAATTTTAATTAAAGCCATTATTTAAAAATATATTAATTTTAGTTATTTTTCATTCTTGTTTATAGTGATATATTTTTGCGGAAGAGGATGTGGGGGGAAAGGTGTAGGATAAATTTTTTTATTAGATGAAGATGATATATACGTCAGGCAAATTTATAAACAGAGGATTTTATTTTGTTCTCCTTCCTGGCTATGCTGATAGCTAAATACACAAAATCCCCCCCCCCCTTACTATGCTGTGGAAAGAGGCTGGCTAACGAAGCTTCAGTATAGTTTGAAATTGATAAAGTTAAGGCGAGTATAATGAGTATAAAACTATTTGAAATTCTTGTTTCTATTTCTTGACTTATTAATGTCAACAAGCTACCATCTATAGCTTTTAACAAGTTTTAGAGATAAAAAATAACATTCACAAGAAAAGAATTTATTCTATTTAATTTTTTATTAGGTTCTCCTCAACAATATTCTCAATGACATTAATACTATAGATTGCCGATCTTAATGCTAAAATCAAATTTGAAGTGACAAAAATTGAATTGAGTAGCAGCCATTTTGTGTTTGGAGCTAATACGTAAGAAACATATGGGATTTCATAAATTTCACGTTTATTTTTATTATATATTATATTTATAATCTTATTTTTTTACTATATGAATAAAAAACATTTTTAGAGCATTTATGATTATATTGTTTTGATTATTGCCTAATGTAATCAAAAATTAAAATTAGATTTTAGGCAAAAATTTAACAGAACTGTACTTTTTCAAGGGCATAAATCAAGTATTATAAAAATATGCTATTTAACTTAAATATTAATAGGTCCAGGAAAAATTATGGTGATTATTTGTAAGAAAAAATTACACTTTATACCATATACTTTTAGTTATAATAATTCATTTATTTTATTAGAAATAAATATAACATATATATTATTTGTATTTAATATTGTAAAAATTTATAAGATTATTTTATTTTTCACAATATACATATTCATTATTGATTTTTGTACTTTAGTGAATTAAATTTAAATAAATATATTTAGAAATGGATAGTTATAATTATTAAGGAAAAACATAATGCAAAGCAAAAATTAAATATAAAAAGTCTTATGAATTATAAAATATAACCTCTTTTTATTTGCTAAAAAAATAAATACAAAAGAAATTATATCGAAATTTTATTTTATATAATTCAAAATATTTATCAATAAAATCATATATATTCAATTTTGTTTTTGGAGTAATTTCTAAAATTCCAAATCACATATTAAATATTTTCATAGCAAATCTGACATAATAATTTTTACAAGAAAAAATAGGTTATTAATATAAGCTGCATCTTTAGACTTAATTCTAAATATTTAATTTGAGATATCATACTTATGAAAGGAAATTTTGCTTCCTGAACAATATTTCTGGTTGCAGCCATATGCACTACAATATATGTTCATTTTCTTAAAATATAAAAAATATATTAAATTTTATAATAAATTTCAAATCATAATATATCTTTCCTCACTTTGATTTTTGTTATTGAATAATCTTAAATTAATTTTTATAAAAAATATTTATTCTAATTTGATAAGATATATATTTGAAAAATCTTAAAGATATTCATGAGGTATTAAAGAAAACAATAAATCCTTACTTTTCTAAAAATGACAAAATTTTAAACTATATTCTTATTACTATACAGATTTTATTTTATATTGATTAGTCTAAATAAAATATTAAAGATATTCATTAAGTAATAAACTGTAAATGTTTATAAAATGTTTTTTATTCATCTCGTAAAAAAATAAGATTTTAAATATAATAAAAATAAAAATGAAATTTATGAAATTATCATATGTTTCTTTCATAAAAGATCCAAACACAAAATGGCCGCTACTCAATTCAATTTTTGCCACTTCAAATACATTAATCGGCAGTCTATAGTATTAATGTCATTGGCTATTCTAGGGGAATTAGAAGAGCATTAATAAAATTAAGTATATCAACAATGTTTAACGATATACATCATTAATTACCCTACCCTATACTTTTTGTAAAATTATTTATTTCTTAACAAGCTGTTATTAGATTAATAAACATTTAATTAAATTAAGGCTAATTTCCTTTAAAAATATATCCAATAAACATAAACCAAATAATGGAATTTTCTAAATGGGTTTTAATTTTTAAAAAAGCTGACGCTTTCTATAAAAAAGGTGTTATCTACACTTTTAAAACTGGGGCCATTTTTTTTTTAAAGAACTGCTGCAGCTCTCATTTTTCTTAGTTAACGGGCTATTTTCCCAGAGGGCTTAGGATTACAGTTTCTAATAATTTATCTAAAAAAACTCTGCCTAAAGTATAAGGATAGATGGTTTTTATTACATTTATTTAAAATTAAGTTCTGCTCGTCCTCAATCGATTTAATAAAATAATGATTAGCATATTTTCATAATTTACAACAAAATTTATAATATGGCTGCTTCTAGAAGATTGGGTAAAGAGTTGATTGATTTGAAAAATTCATCCGACATACGTAAGATATTTCATGATATTCAAGTTGATGATAATAATATACTGGTTTGGAGAGGTTTAGTTTCACCAAGGAATCCTCCATACAATAAAGGCAGCTTTAAAATCGAAATTAATTTTCCAGCAGAATACCCTTTTAAACCTCCAAAAATAAATTTTAAAACAAAAATATATCATCCAAATATAGATGAAAAGGGACAAGTTTGTTTGCCAATCATAAGTGCAGAAAATTGGAAACCAGCAACCAAAGCTGATCAAGTTGTTCAATCACTTGTTACATTGGTAATGATTTTTTTTTTTGGAATTTATCAAATAATCATTCTTTCAATAAAATTATAGCCATATTTAATATGGTGATATGCTAAACATTTTTATTATAATACATTAGTTTTATGATAACACTTAATTAATACTATCATTTTATAATATCACCTCAAAATAGTCAATATTATGATTAATTTAGACATTTTGGAAATAATTTATAAATTACTTTGTGGATAATTATGAACGTGACAAATTTTAAGATTTGTTCTATCCAAAAAATGGAAATAGGGGTTTTGGGTAAATCTTATTTGAAAATGATAACAAAATTTAAAACGATATAAAGTTTTGTAAATCAAAAATAAATTATAAATTTATACTAAATTTTATTTTTTAAATGTTTTTCTTATAATTTACCTTTTTTAAAGAACATTTTTAAGATCATCTTGAGATGCATAGCATAATTTTGATTTGGTAAAAATTTATAGTTTATGTAGGGGTGGATTTGTTAGCTTAATAGGAAAAGTCCCACCAAGCCTCAACATTTTAAAAAAATATTGAGCTTTTGAGAAAAAAATGGACTAGAAATTTTTTTATAAAATAAATTTTTGGATTATTAAAAATGACTTCACAAAAATATGATTGTAAAATTGTTTGGCCCAGCAACAAATATGTGAAATGAATTTGTTAGCTTGTAAGCTCAAATTAACCAAGTGCCACCTAATAGTACTTTTATTTGGTGCTATAACCTTATCCTCAATTTATTCATTTGTGGCACATGTATAATAATCCTGAGTGGAAAATCTTTTTGGGTTATTTAATGATTTTTTACTTTAAAAAAAATGGAGATATGGACAAATATAAAAAACCCAGTAATAGGTTAAAAAAAAAATTAGAAGCAGAGATAGAAGATAAAAAATTTTCAATTCAAAATTTACTAATCGAATAAGAAGCTTGATTTGATTTTCTGGAGGCATACTTCGTAATACAAATAATTCAATTTAAAAAAAACTAAAATTTTTAAGATATTTTATTTAATATACAATTATTTTTATTTTATTGCAAATACATAATTGTACATAAAATACAATCATAATGACAAGTGAATTTTAATTTCAAAATAAATTTATAAAAAGCTATAAAGTTTTATTAGTTGTTCTTTTAGAAACATGCTATTTTGGGTAATGAATCTAGGATTAAGGGAAAGGGTTTATCTCATCCTTTGACTGATTATGATTAGGTATTTTTATTTTTATTTTGTTTTTTAAAATATAGAATATCTTTCGTATCACATCAATACCGCGTTTTCTGCAAAATGCATTACCGCGAAAAGATATTATAGGCAATGCATCATAGCGAAAACAGTATCGCGAATGCAGCATAGCGAATGCATTACCTCGAAAACATTATCGCGAGTACATTACAGCGAGTGCATTATCGCGATTGCATCATAGCAAATGAGTGTTACCATGAATGATTTATCGTGAATGCATATGACAAATGTATTAGCGCGAATGCATTACCGCGAAATTATTATCGCGAATGCATTACAGCGAATGTATTATCTCGAATGCATTACAGTGAATAATATTACGTATTCAATCGTGATTTATATTTAACAAATGGTTGATATTAATATAAAATATTAAAATTTTTTGCTACTTACCCACTAACTTTCTCATAAGAAGTTCATTAATATGTTTTTATTTTTTAAATATATCGGAAACTATAAATTTGTTACCTTTTGGAAGTTCCTAGCCGATAATATTTTTCCACCGGATCTCTATTTCTCTAAGGAAATTCTTTAGACTCTCTAATTATATTGTAAATCATATAACAAGTTCAGACCTTTTTCAAAAAACCAGAGAACAAGCCTAATTGACGTTTCTATATTAATTTAACATAGCGTTTTTAAATTTTTATAACTCTAAAACACGTCACTTGCTTTTTATGAATTTCGTATTTTATTAAAAAATCTAAAGGAATTTAGTATCCTCAATTTTTTTTAATAATTAGATTAAGTCGTTTTTTAGAAAATTTGAAATACTAATATTTGACAAAAAATAACTTAAGACCCTCATTTATTTTATTTATTTAAAAATGGGCTACACGTGTTCCTATTATTTTGATCCATAGTCGGTCGCTCGCCTTTTTTTTCGCAATTATAAATTATAATGCAAAACACAAAGCATGCTTTTAGATCCATAAAATTATTAAAATAATAAATATAATTAATGTAATTAATCTATCCTTTTTTTTCTTGTATAACACCTAACAATAAACGTCAATTTTATTATTTCTTGCGAAATTAAGGCATATTTTACCAATTTTTCTTTCATTTGTAAGATTCAAAAGGTTGTAGCTTATTACTTAAAAATTTTTCGGTATATGTAACCCCGTATTTTGAGATCTCTTTAAAGCTTATTGAACTGGATGAATATTCCACTTTTTCCTAGAGTATTCAGGAATTAAACTTCATTCCAATTTTTTTTTCATATCATAATTTTATCATTATAGATCTTCTCTTGATAAATTCGACAATCTACTTATGATATTGAATATTTTCATGTATTGTTGTGATAATCTTTGGCCTTGTCTTATTGATTAAGCAATAAGAGAACTTATACAAATTTATTATCAAAAAATGCTTATCAAGTATTTATTAAATCCCTCACATTAAAACAAGTTTTGTCAAACAATAATATAAATGATTTCTGAGTACTAATTATCTGTTTGGCTCAATGTTTTAAATAAGGCTTTTTTTAGCGCCTTGCAAATTTAATTATTTCAGCCAAAGCTCCATCCAAAATTTTTATTTATTTTTAGACCCGAGCTTAGCCAATATTTTAAATTTTAGCCCTTACTGCCCTGTCCCAAATTTAATTGAAATATTCGCGCTAATACATTCGCGATAATGCATTCGCAATCATTGTGCCAATGCATTCGTTATAATAAATTCGTTATAATATTTTCGCTTTAATGCAGCCGCATAGCGTTTGCTGCAATGCATTCGCGATGACGCTTTCTGGTAATACATTTGCGATAATTCATTCGCTGTAATGTATTTGAATACATTCGCGATAACACTTTCGCGGTATTACATTCGCTATAATACCCTATATTATATTCGCTATAATATTATTTCGCGGTATTGACATGCAACCAATATTTTTATATTATATCGTTAAAATTGTCTGAATAATTGGTAACGCTAATTTCTAAAGGATATGGCAATGTTTAATGATTTATGAGTGCTGTAGCTAGTATAAAGGTAAAAATCAACAAAATTGGCAACTTTACAAAGCGACTCTAAGCATTTGTTCTGAAAATCATATTAATGTTTAGTGCTTAATTATATATTATTATAATCTGTTTGGTAGACCGTATATAAAGGAAAAAATGGTATTATCAAAATAATAAAAATCAGTATCATGCCAGAATGAAAAATATTATAGTTCATATCAGTTTTGCGAACTACAAAAAAGAAACCGTGTCCCTTTAAACGTGAAGTGGGCTAAGCTTTTGGAATCACTAATTTTGAAACTTTTATCAAACTATTAAAATTAGTGCATTTTACTACTTTAATTTGTTTGATAGATGGTTTTAAGAAGTACGAAATTATTAAAAGGAGAATATAGAAGTTCTAAATATTTGGTTTGCATTAATATTTAACTTATTAATTATTCACTCAATTTTCCCAACCACAAAAAGTAACTTATGATGTCACGACTTAAGCGTGAAGTCAGCCAAACTTCCGTAGCCTGGATATTTGGGTTTGCCAATATGCAATGCTTGATTACCACTTAAAATGCATCAATCAGTTTTTCCAGCAAATAAATAGAAACCAGTTATTGGAGAAACAAAACCATAACGGTACTCCTTCGACTAAGTCTTAGATTCAGATAACAATTACACCTAAATATATTAAGTTTTTTCCCCTCATTTTAAAATATTTTTAATGATTTTACGATCTTTATACGTCAATTATTTGTTCTTTTCGGGTTATTTAATATAGAAGATTGTTTAGTAAATTAATATTAATGCCAAGTGCTCTTTTACGTGGAAATAGTAAAGGTCAAAAATAGGTTATTAAACGGCACGATTTGAGTCGATAAACGGCTAACTCAATATTTTAGCCAGATATTGCCTAATGCGAGATTTCGATGGATGTCCAAACTTTTGGGTCATCTTTGTGGAAAAACTTTAGGCTTGTTAATATTTTCTGAAATATTGAGTCTAGCCATTTTTAAAAATCGGCTCAAATTGAGGCTTTTAACAAAACTAGTAAACATAGACCCCATACGAATTATAACGTTTTTGGGAAGCCTCCCATTTTTTTATATAATTTATAACAAATTGTTTAATGAAAATTTATTTAATTAAAAACTTGAAAATGTCTCTAGTATTGTTTATAGGTAAATTTTTATGATTTTTCTCTCATTTTTTTAAATAGCAGAATAAGATTTATAGATTTCGAAAATTAGGGGGAGGGGTTATCATTTTGAAAGAAATGAAGGTAAATTTTCATCTAGATATCAAATAAAAGTGTTATGAAAATATAAAATTTTATCTAATCATATTTTTCATGGTGAAGTTTCAACCCCCCCCCCCCCCCCCCCCTTCCTTAGTATATGCCAATGTGAATGTCTCATGAGATATAAAATCTGTTATTATTCCTCTTCTACTGATTGCATAATTATAATTAGCATATCTATAATTTTTAAAATTCGAAAAAACCAATACGGATAATTAAATCTACTATTCATCAAATTTTAAAATTATTATTCGTTTAATAAGTGAAACCTTGTTTTTGACTTAATTTTTCAAGTCCAGTCAGATCCGGGATTTTTTTTGTCCCAATGATCCAATCTGTATTTTTTTGAAACGATATCGCAATCTTAAATTTTATCTTAGAAATTTATTCGATTCGGAAAAAATAAAGAAATTTTTAGACTGAATGGATAAGTATTTCAAGGAAATGGCATTTTAAGTGTTGATGAAAAATAAAAAATTTTGGTCTC